TGGAGAAGGTAATACACCCTTACCTGTGTGTATGGAAGTAGTGTATGGAGAAGGCAATACACCCTTACCTGTGTGTATGGAGGTTGTGTATGGAGAAGGCAATACACCCTTACCTGTGTGTATGGAAGTAGTGTATGAAGAAGGCAATACACCCTTACCTGTGTGTATGGAGGTAGTGTATGGGGAAGGCAATACACCCTTACCTGTGTGTATGGAGGTAGTGTATGGGAAAGGCAATACACCCTTACCTGTGTGTATGGAGGTAGTGTATGAAGAAGGCAATACACCCTTACCTGTGTGTATGAAGAAGGCAATACACCATTACCTGTGTGTATGGAGGTAGTGTATGGAGAAGGCAATACACCCTTACCTATGTGTATGGAGGTAGTGTATGGGGAAGGCAATACACCCTTACCTGTGTGTATGGAGGTAGTGTGTGGAGAAGGCAATACACACCCTTACCTGTGTGTATGAAGAAGGAAATACACCATTACCTGTGTGTATGGAGGTAGTGTATGGGGAAGGCAATACACCCTTACCTGTGTGTATGGAGGTAGTGTGTGGAGAAGGCAATACACACCCTTACCTGTGTGTATGAAGAAGGAAATACACCATTACCTGTGTGTATGGAGAAGGCAATACATCCTTACCTGTGCATCTATCATATATGATATCATCATAATAGAATCAGTTTCCATGTCGGGAAATTTCAATGGTAACTTTGTTGTCTCAATATCAAATGCCATGACAACAGGATCCTATAACAAGAACATCAGTGTAAGTATACAATCAAAACGAATAAAAAAAGCATTACAATGATATACAAGTAGAAAGATATAACATGTTGTCTACTTACAGGCCTGTCTAATAAGTCATCTCTCTGGTTAATTTCTGGTGGCAGAGTTCCCCTTCCTTTAACGCTATACCAATGTCCCTAGAAACATAATTAACACTATCATTAACAATTAATATTAACTTCAATGATGTTATGTCAATAAATTATTATTTTATAGATATACTATAATATTACATTTTCCGAGTATATAAAATTACAACCATATCAATAACCATTTAAATAAATTATGTCTATTCTGACATGGTATGGCACTCGCCACATGTATTTTACTATCTATGGCTACTCTGACATGGTTTAGCACTCACCACATGTATTTTACAATCTATGGCTACTCTGACATGGTATGGCACTCACCACATGTGTTTTACAATCTATGGCTACTCTGACATGGTTTAGCGCTCACCACATGTGTTTTACAATCTATGGCTACTCTGACATGGT